ATACGCTGAAATTTTTGTGATTCATAGAAATCTTGAATTTCTTACAATTGTAATCGTTTTGTTTACATTGGCCGAATATATTGATTCTACCATTTTTTTTTCGAATATTCTATATACTTGAAGATTATTAAACAAGTATTATTCACATATTTCTCTATTCGATTCCATAAATTGTATTGGTAGTAATTTACATTAAGTACTTCATTTTTCAATATGGTATTTCAATCAACATCTGAAATGACGAAAGTTTCCTCCAATATTTCACAATCTGTATAATGCATATTTTTTTGGCGGGGAGAAGACATGTTAACGGAAGTCACTTGCAAAATTTTAGCTGATTGATTGGGACTTGACAGGTTCATTATAGCTTTCGTAACATCAAAATCTTCAGGAGTTATATCGATTTTGGATGTTGGGGTTGATTCTTTTTCCTCAGGAATTTCATGGAGACTCGAAAAATCATTTTCAGAACCATCGATATATTCATTGTGATGAATAATATCTTCCATAACAAATCCACATAATTCCATGACACATCATACAGAATATACCCTTGAAACAAGCTTTCCTTGGTTTCACGAAAGAACAGCCCATTTCTGGAAGGAATGAAACAAAGGGAGTCGATGTACCCCTAAGGCATGTCGTCGACTGGGCAGTCGAATGGTTCGAAAATATCACTCTGTGTATAGGAAAACGGGGACTGACAGCAAAAGTCATTCGACATCCATCACCTTACGGGTTTGGTGTGTGGCACAATTCATCTTTCCCTTCATTTCAAATGCAAGAGTCTACCCAAACACAGGAAAAGACCATATCCTCTAGAGGCACGCGAGTGCGGCGCTGTGGCCACATTTGCTGTCGTCCTCTCCGGAAACATTCCTTGGTTTCACGAAAGAACATCCCGTTTCTGGAAGAGATGAAGCAAAGGGTGTCGATGTACCCCTAAGACATGGCGCCCAACGTGTTGGAAGCTGTATTGATTGTCAGTCTAGTGAGATTGACTCGAACCCGCAAGTATCACAAGTCATGGACCCTGAGAAATCCCATGAAACTATTTGTGTTGAACCGCTAAACGAGTTTCGTAGTTCTCCCATAAAAACTACGTGGCGCCCAGAAGAAACAATGTTATGAATAGCACAACTAACCGAGAAAATGTGGGACAAACTGTCTAATGAAAGGAAAATATGTAACGTGAATATGTTCGGAGATCGAGAGTGGGAAGACCCGCATGTTTTTGAAAGATGTTACCGGTCATTTGATGGACAATGGGATTCCAAAATCAAGACGGACTTCAACAGCAAAACAATATCTAGAAGGAAGAGCTCAAGAATGGTTCGAGAAATATGAAGATGAGCATCTAGATTTCGATGCATTCAATAATCTCCTGAGGAAAGTTTGACAATGAATCCCTGTGAATTGTTAGCACCTAAAATCAGGATCAATTTACGTGGACGTTGTTTTTCTGATATGGAATCCTTCATTCAAGCTGCTAGTGTTATAGAAACAGATCTGAATGATATTGAATACACTTATAGACATCCACATATGTCACATCAAGAAAGATATGCTGAGCCATCTTCCCCTTGTAGAATTTGTAGAGCATGGCATTACCATAAGGATTGTCCTCATCGTGAAGAAAATGTAATTCATTCGGAAAACTCCAGAAGGGAGGATGCTGGCCAGGGAGCTCGTCCCCAGAACTGAAAAGTTTGCAAACAGTTTGTGAATTCGGCCCATCATGAGTTGAAATTCAAGTGAATGGTCACAAATTATTAGCTCTTCTAGACACAGGTGCAACGCATTCTTTCATTCAACATAAGTTCACACAATCACTGGAAATAAATAAAGAGCATACTAAAGTGAAAGTGGCTAACTCAAATCATGATTTTTCCACATCCGGTAGATTGAAAACAGATATAATAATCGGCGATCAACTATTGTCGTCAGATTTTTATGTCTTAGAATCCATTACTGAGGATGTAATACTTGGTCGAAACTGGATGCAGCAACACGGAGCAATCCTGGATTTCGTGCAAAGCTGCATGTACGTCGGTAGTAAAAGACGCATGTCAGTTTACTGGGCGAATCGTGATTATAAAGATGTAAAAGACATCGATTTTGAATAACGACCTGAACAAATGCCAAAAGAACATCGAGACGATTATCTGACACTATTGAAGAATTTTTCAGATGTTTTGCATCAGCCTACTACCCGTTCTACTACACATCATATTCGACTTAGACCCTTCCAGATTAGACGTTACCAGTACTCACTGCAGAAGACAAACACCATACATAATGAAGTCAAGAAAATGCTGGCTGCAGGAGTCATCCGTCGAAGCACATCTGCGTACTGTTATCCGGTAGTGATAGTACAGAAGAAATATGGTAAACCACGTTTTTGTGTCGATTATAGACAATTGAATTCACAATCAGAATCGGAAGTTTCCCAAATTCCCCATATACGGGACACTATCCGTGAGCTTGGAACCAGCAAAGTGTTCACATCCCTTGACCTCAGAAGTGGATACTGGCAGGTGCCAATGCATGAGGATAGCATAAAACTAACTTCATTTGGTACACCTGATGGGGGTGTGTATGAGTTTTTGGTAATGCCATTTGGCCTAAAAAATGCACCTTCTACATTCCAAAAGTTGATAGTCGAAGTTTTCAGGGGATATATCGACATTTTCGTCAAAGTTTATCTAGATGATAACATAATTTATTTAGAGGATCATGAGGAACACTTCGAACATTTGACGCTGGTTCTTGAGCGCTTAAGGGTGAATCAGTTGAGATGTTCCTTATCGAAATACCAATTCGCTACTTCTCATTAACAGTACTAAGGACACTGCATCGATAGTCAAGTCAACACACCAAAAGAAAAACATCAACTGAAGATCTTAGATTATACAAGTCCCAAATCATTCAAGGAACTGCAATGTTTTCTTGGAACCGCCCACTGGTTGAGAGAATTCATCTCCGATTTTGCCTCAATTTTAGCTCCGATAACTGATCTTTCAAGTAGGAAGAAATTTATCTGGACTGATGAGTGTGAAACTGCATTTACTACACTGAGAAAAGAATTGTCGAAACCATTAATTCTTCACAGACCTGATCCAAACAAAAGATTCTTCTTACAAACTGATGCATCACAAAGGGGTATGGGAGCTGTTTAATACCAACAAGATTGGAATGGAAATAAACGAGTCATATAATATATTAGTGCAAAATTCACCAAAACAGAGCAATGTTTCCATGTGAATGAACAAGAGGTTCTAGCAGTTGTTTTGGGCCTGCAAACAATATCGACCATATCTAGAAGACCATTCTTTCACCCTGGTAACCGACAGTCGAGCTCTATCTTGGCTATCTAAATTCAAAGATGAGAAAACTAAGTTGACTCAATGGTCTTTGCTCCTTCGAGAATCTTCGTATGATGTACAGCACTGTCCAGGTAAAGAAAATCAGTTGTCTGATTTTTCATCCAGAAATCCGTTCGGGTCTGTAGATACAACCAGAGAAAAATACGATGGAAGATTATTACCACCGTCATCGATTCACATGCTTGGCGAACCAGCACAAGAGCCAATATTATATCTAGTGGAAACAGAAACACTCGAAAATGTTGTGAAACAAGAACAACTCGCTGATTCAGACATTCAGAATAGCATGATATTGTGGAATAATTTGCAAAACAAATCTCCTGAAAATTTTCGAGGACGCCAACTAGAACTTCGTAATCATTATTTGGTGAGAGATGGATTTCTATGGAACACCAAGAATGGGATAGAAGTTTTGGAAGTACCAAGAAAATTGCGATCAAGGGTTCTCTATTTCACGATTCCAGTTATTCCAACCATCCTGGACGAGATGAAACTTTTCGAAGTACTCGAAATCGTTTCAGTTGGTCGGGTTTATGGCGAACAGTTCGAGATCACGTTTGACTATGTCAATTTTGCATCTCTCAAGGCTAGTCGTGTCCAAGTGACTGGGCAGTCGGATGGTTCGAAAATATCACTCTGTACAGAGGAAAACGGGGACTGACAGAAAAAGTCATTCGACATCCTCACTTTACGGGTTTGGTGTGTGGCACAATTTATCTTTTTTCTTCATTCCAAATGCAGGAATCTACCCAAACACAGGAAAAGACCAGATCCTCCAGAGGCACGCGAGTGCGAGCGCTGTGGCCGCATTTGCCGTCGTCCTCTCCGGAAACATTCCTTGGTTTCACGAAAGAACTGCCCATTTCTGGAAGAAATGAAGCAAAGGGAGGCGATGTACCCCTAAGACAATATTTCGTTGATATTCTTGCTAGACATATAATCCTCTTCTTTATACGGTGTTGATGACTGGCCCATTGAAGGCATTTTACCATTCTCCTTACATTTCTCATAATCGGAAGTGATTTTTCTCAAAAGCTTGTAAATTTTTTTCCAGAGTATTTTTCATACAGAAAAACTTACAACAAGTTCCGTGAACTGATGGATTTCTATATGAGTTGAAAACGATTGGCTCATCATCAGTCGTTTCCGTTAAGAATACCTTGAAATTAATCTTATTTAAATAAACTTTTCCTGGTACCTTCAAATTGACGAAGTTTTCTAAAAATCATCTCTCGAATTCGTTGCACCCACTAACAGTTTTGAAAATATTGCTACAAAAACCATACTTCGTACCTATCAGAGATTGCGCTATTATCTGACATGCTAAACGAAGCATCGATATCGATGATTTTCGGTGCTATATGTTTTGTTTCGACCGTCGTTGAGTGAACACGTATGTTCATATCGTCCTTTCAATCAAAGATTGCTATCTAATATTTGGAAAAAAGTGTAACAACTATTCCGAGTAATTTGTAATTTGTGCGAGAAAGCGTTTGCCATTATCGTTATCAAAAAACCATTGAACGCCGACAGTGTTTTTTTTGCCGTCGTTCTTTATCTTCATTACTTGTGGTTTGATTCAATTTGTTTCCGTGGACATAGATACTAATAAAAATGGACGGTGTTGCCGTTTCGGAAGAAACTACCGCATTAAAGATGGTAATGGATCAATTGGCGAATCTTACCCAAAGTTCTAATGATTTGAGAGGTTTGATTGTCAGTCAGTCTGATAAGCTGGATAATTGCCTGAAGTCTATTGAAACTTTAGAACAAGACAATTTGGAAATACATGGAAAAATCGCAAGTTTGGAAAACAAACTCCAAGTCTCATTAGAACCCTATGGAAACATTTATCAGGATATTAATATGCATATGAATCGGGCCAGAAACATAATCGTCTGTGGCCTTGAAGAAACTGAAGAAAACGATCAAGAAACTATCAAAATCATGGTACAAAATATTACCCATCCTGAAATTGTTAGTGTGAAGAACGTTTCTTGGTTGGGCAAACCCCAAACAAACAGAATTCGACCTTTAAAAGTGGCACTTGCATCACCTGACGAAGCTGTAAGTGTCCTGAAGAATAAGCTGAAAATTTCCAAAAATACTTTCCCAAATGTAAAAATCAAGAATGATGTGACCCCATTGCAACAACAAGAATTGAAACAACTGTACAGCGAACTGAATGACCGCAGGTCTAAAGGTTAAGAGTTTCATGATAGTGTGCCAAGAATTGTGAAACTCCAAAATGCTCAAATAACCGGCAAACGAGGAAGGAAATTCTCTAAAAAATCCAAGGCAATAAAAAAACTAAAACGCCCCCATATTACGGTATGGGAAAATGATTTTCTGGAATGTTGAAGGTATGACAAACTTTTCACTTCCGGTTGATGTTCTCATGAATTTGACTGTTGATGTATAAGTGAAACGTGGCAAGTGAACGATATAATTCTCCCACCGGTCCTTCATACAACCTACAATATAATATGTGTTCCTGCTTCAAAGGAAAAAATGCATGGACGAGCAAGCGGTGGTATAGCAATTATATATAACAAATGCTTTAAGCTCAAAATGTTAGACTCTTCACCCTGGTGGTTAATATGCTCATTCGCATGTGAGGATTTGAAACTTATTATACGCTTCGTGTATTTTAAACCATCGTTACCTCTTGATGAAGTTCTAGATTTATTCCAATTGTCTTTAACGGAACTTACCGAATCATCACCCAATATACCATTTTTTGTTTTGGGTGACTTTAATTGTAGAATCGGAAATATCGCATCAATTTCAGATCACATTGTCAAAAATACAAATCTCTTTACTTCTATGTTAAGTTATGATAAAGTTGTCAATGCTAAAGGAAGGGAGCTCATTGATTTTTTATTCTCTAATAACTTTTCACTACTAAACCGCAGTGTTTTTTCTGATGGGCCAGCCAATTTCACCTTCATGAATGCAAATGGTAGTAGTGTCATTGACCTTGTATTCTGCAATGATGATAATCTCAGTATCATTCATGATTTATGTGTGCTTACACATGTATCACCCTCAAGTCATTTCCCTCTTTTACTCAGCTTTGAAACTGTTTCTATTAATGCTGATACCATAACATGAGTAAATACTATAGAAACAAAATTGAGATGGAATGATGCCCTTCTTCTGCCATACAAACACTTTATGGAATTCTCTCCAAATGTTGAAATTCTCAATACTATCGAAAGTAACTATATAAATCTGTGTACTACTATTTGGTAAACTGCAGAAAATTGTGGTCTGATCATAACTCATAAAGCTTCTCGTTTCAATCCACGTCATAAGCCTTTGGTTCGACATCGAGTGCACTAATTTGAAAAGAAGGGCTATACTCGCAACTTTGTGGAATACTCGGGATCGAACAAGTTTCTGGGAGGCTATTAAATCTTTTAGACGTCCAGATAACACTTCTCTATTTACAACCCAACAATGGGAAACTTATAACAGTACAATATTATCAGTCAGAAATGCAATCAGATGGAATAAGCTATGGATTCATCAAAAACCTGCCACAAAATTGGTTGTTATACCTTTTGAATCTGATCAACAAAATACTAGAGCGCGAAGTAGTGCCATCGGCATGGTCAACAGCAATTTTGACAATGCTTCATAAAAAGGGCGCCAAGGATGATCCTGTCAATTATAGAGGAATAGCACTACTTAACACCCCTGCCAAAATATTCACTTCCTTATTACTCAAGAGATTGAAAATTTGGTGATAGGACAATAACATAATTCCTGAATGTCAGTCGGGTTTCCGACAGGAACGTGGCTGCATAGACAATATTTTCGTATTGAGTTCGGTTATCCAAATAAATTCAAGGCTAAAAGGGAGGAAAGTATTTTGGGCATTTGTAGACTTCAAGGGAGCGTTTGACTCTATAGAACATAATTTACTATAGCACAGACTTTATCAGTTGGGAGTTAGTTCTAAATATTTAAGGATACTGAAAAGCATATATGACAAAGCTAATAGGAGAATTAAGTGTAACAACCAGTATACAAAAGATTTCGAAATCACAACCGGCGTATTACAAGGAGAATCACTAAGCCCATCGTTATTTTCTATGTTCAACTCAAATATTTTGACATACTTCCAAGAAAAAGGCTGTAAAGGGGTAAACATCAACGGTATAGAGGAACTACTTTTGTTGTTATATGCGGATGACCTAGTCATTATTAGTGATACACAAGACGGTTTACAAAAAAGTTTGAATATGTTAACAGATTATTGTCGTTAAAACTGCTTAACAGTTAATACCGCTAAAAGTTAAATACTAATTTGCTCTAAAGGGGGATATTTTGCACATAAAAATTATAATTCCTTTAATAATGGCCAAGCACTGGAAGTAGTGAATAATTTCACATATCTTGGAGTGGTTTTCTAATCCTCCGCACTCTTCTCAGAAATGGCAAGAATCACCGTTAGTAAAACTAAACAGGCCTTAGGGGCTGTAACAAGTCTTATGGTCAGTGCTAAGCTGCGTTCCTGGGATGCTAGGATACAATTATATAATTCAGTTATAATTTCGTCTCTCTCATTCTGTGTGGCAATTTGAACCCCAAATATACCGATGTAATCGGAAGAATACAAGTTATGTTCTCGCAAATGATATTCCTTCTAGTATATAATTTCTCTGTTGAATTCTAATTTTTTCAGATCATTTTCAAATTGACACCCTTCTTTCTTCCACCGAAAAATATTTTTTTCATCATTTTAATTGGGTTTTTTCCACTTACGACCCCCCTAGTAAGTGATTTCCTAAGTGATATTCCTTCTAGTATATGATTTCTCTATTGAATCCTGATTCTTCTATATGATTTTCAAATTGACACCCCTTTTTCTTCCACCGGAAAATATTTTTTCATCATCTTAATGGGTTCACTCACGACCCCCCTAGACGGCTTGCAAGTAACGTTCCTTTCAGTTTATGATTTTTCCAACGAAGAATGATTTTTCCGTATCATTTCCAAGGTGACACTACGTTACCTTTCACCGAAAAATATTCTTTTTATAATTTTAATGGAGTTTTTTCCACTTACGACCCCCCTAGACGGCTCGCAATTGATATTCCTGCTAGTATATGACTTCTCTATCGAATTGAAATATTATTCTTTCATCATTTTAATGGGGTTTCCACCATTTATGACCCCTCTAGGCGGTTTGCGAATGATTTTTCATCCAGTATATGATTTCCCTATTGAATTTTGATCTTTTTGTATCATTTTCAACCTTACTCCCCGTTTTCTGCCACCGCAAATATTTTTTCATCATTTCATAGGAGTTTTCACTTCTTATGACTCCTTCAGATGGCTTGTAACTGAATTTTCTCCTTGTATATAATTTCCCTAACGAATTCTTATCTTTCTGCATCATTTTCAAACTAACACCTCTTTATTTTGTTCATCATTCTAATGAAGTTTTCACTATTCATGACCCCCCTAGACGGCCGCGAATTGATTTTTCTTCTTGCAGATGATTTCAACATTGCATTATTATTTTTGTAATAATTCCCAATATGACACTTCTTTCCCCCATGCCGGATATTCTTTTCATCATTCTTAACGGTATAGTCGGCTCGCAAGTAAATTTATTTTCTAGTAGGTGATTAATTTGGTGGGTTCTGAATGTTATTGTCATATTTTCAGAGTGACACCTCGTATTTTTTAGTTGACTATGAAGTATTTGTGGCGCACGCCTATTGCCATTCGGGAGTTTCCGTAGTTTTGGCTGCCATGTTTTGGCACAGCGATTCCAATCGTGTCGCGATTAAAACTGTTTCAAGTTAGTGGCAGATCATCAATACTTTCGAGAATATTTCACCCCCTCTAAAGATGATATCCGATGAACCAGTGTCAAACTCACCATGTAGTTAGGGATACTCCTAGTGTGAGTACCACATGACTTTCTCCATCGGATATTATCTTTCGACGAGGGCAAAATTTTCACGAAAACATTGGCGCTCTGCCACTAACTTAGATAAGTTTGAATCGCGGCACGTTTGTATATTCGAAAAAGGGACATTGCCTCCTTCCATTTGCTGATTGTTTCAACTCCTCATCACATGACGGAAGTTTGTCCGGAATAATAAGAGCAAATAAATCGCTGTGCCGTAAATTTCTCTCAGACTGATGGGTGGTACAGGTAGATTTTTGAGATCTACCATTGAATTAGTAATAATTTTCATCTCTTCATGTTGTAGCAATCTTGTGGCAAAGCTCTGAGGTAGGATACATAGATATCGCGACATACACTGTATGGCGCTGCCATCTATAGTCACACGTACAGACCCCTACGTCTATACGCTACAGAGTGGTACTACAAGTAAATCACTCTGCTGACAGATGGCACTACCTGACATACTTGAGTGGAATTTTTCCAATACCTATTCAACTGCTAAATCTCATAATTAAGAGATCTAGGATGAACTGTTCATCGGCTGATGAGACCTGGTGGGTCGAAACAGTACTGTCTCGCTCCTGCTGACAATTGGGGCAACTCTGTTCATCCTAGATCTCTTAGTTATGAGATTTAGCAGTTATATATTATTCCGTTATCAGATGGCGGTAGAAATCTGCAGCCGGCTCTCCCATTATTATAGATGCACCTTATGTTAAAATAAAACGGTGCTCATCGATTTTATGTTTTTATTTATACGAATAATGATAATGGTTCAAGACGAAAATAAATAAAAATCAGACGAACATGAAACAGGAAATTCATGGTTTTTTCACGCCGAATGATATTAACGGCAATTTGATGCAAATACTCATAAAATTCACATTTCTACCTATAAAGGACCTATAAAGGTATATCAATAAACATAATATACTGTATCGGAAATATGAAATTTTGTTTTAGTTTAGGCTGCTTCACCTTCCCCTTCTTCTTGCGCGGCAGTTAGAAGAGTGATGAGAGACTGGGTGTCGATTCTGCCATTGTCATCGATATCCATGGCATCGAAGGCGTCATCGACTTCTTTGGCGGAGAATTTCTCTCCCCAGGTCATGAGGGCGTGACGGAATCTGAAAAACATTATCGGTTTCACTCACGAAAGTTGATTATATAGAAAGGACTTTTCATTCATTTTCGGTCAATTTATTACTTAAGATATCAAAAAAAATATTCGTTTTTCTGTGACGGAAAGAAAGTTTGAAATTTTATCTCTGTTTAC